CTGCACGGACGCACTCGCGGGCACAGCAGTGGCAAAACATGATGAGCGATCAGAAAGAAGAAGGGTCACACGGCAGAGGAGGTCAATGAGGAGTGGGAGGGGCATGAAAAAGCGGCAGAGGAGGCAGAGGGCGAACATGAGGAAGGAGGTGAGACGCCCCTCCCTTCGTCGACCGGCCCATGAGGAAGCAATGCGTGCGAGAGCCTGGGCGACAAATGGGCGCTGCTGTCCGTGCCCTACTTTTCGGGAGGCCCCGCCCAGGATCATCCCAGTACGTCCCCAAGACGGCAAAGACAACTGGTGGCAGGGTGCAGCCGACAACGAAATATCGGAAATGCGGACATCGCCCACACTGCCGGCGGGATTCAGCATTGCCTCGGGGGCGGTATCCCAATCTGACCCTTCCTCAAGATATCCCTGCCCTCGCAAATACGCTTATCGGGTACGAGCATCCCGTTCGATCGCCAACGAGAACGAGGAGGCAGCGACGGGGCAGGAGAAATGTGCACATTTATTAGGCACGCACTTTCGATACAACGGGCTAGAGGAAGGAGAGCGCGGGGGAGGATAAAGGAGGAATGGGGGGAAGATGCAGGGGGGGTATGATGAGCAGGACGCGGGAGCACACTTATCGGGCAGCAGCCTCCTGTAAAACCGAGTGCGATGGGGGAGCAACATGTTGACAGCGCAACTGGTGCCTCAATTACCCGCAGACGCGGTGCCAGCGAACCGACCGGGAGGAACACAGAGAGATCAGAGGCGGGCCGTCAGAGGCGGAGAAGGGGGGAGGAGGGGTGGTGGCACACTTGTTCGGCACCACCCTCCAGCGCACGCGACACCAGGGGGGGATGGGGCTCAGGACGATCAGGAGGGAGGGGGAACGGCGAAGGACGGAAGGAATGATGCGCAGGGGGGAGGGCGCGGGGAAGAACGACCTCGCACTGCTGGGTGCTCGCGTGAGTTATGCCGTGCACGCGTGCTTCCTACTTTCCAGCCTGGCCCGCTCTGGCACCGTGATCCCCCCCCCCCCAGGACACGACACCTCTCGGGGGGTCCGCGAGTCCCTGCCGGGGAAGATCTGTCACCGCCTTCCATTCCTCGAAGGCCGAGACCTTTCTGGAACACCCCGCTTGGAATCCGCGCTGGTAGCCGGGCCCCGAAGGCACACCGCGACAGCCTTGCGACGCCGCGGGCCGCGACACACGCTGCTGCGGCGTGGCTGCGCGGCGTTCCCCGGGCGCAGGTGGCTGGTGTTCGCGGCAGCGCAACTGGATGCACAGCATCCCTGCTGCTCCTCCTCCTCCTCCTCCTCCTCTTCCCTCCCTCCTCCCTCCTCCCTCCTCCTCCTCCTCCTCCTCCTCCTCCTCCTCCTCCAGAGTGGGCAAGGGCTGAGAGGGAGAGATGGCTGTCCACAGGTTCACTCCTTGCCTGAAGGCTTCTGCTGCCGATCCGAGCCAGGGTATTACGCAAAAAAGCGATTCCAGCATGGGCCCCAAACAGCGAACTAGTGCAGTGTAGGTGTAGGCGGTCAGCGCAAACCAGTGTGAGGCAATGCCTAGAAGTACGAAGTAGCGCAACCTACGGCACAACCCGTGGGTGCAACCTACGGCACCTAGAAGTTCTCGCAGACGCCGTCCGGAATCAAGAGCACGGCTGGTGCTGAGCCGAAGTTACCACTCCGAACTGGCATGATAGAAGTGCGTCTCTGCGTGTGTTCGAGCTAGATTTGGCTGCAGACAGCCTGAAGAAACTGCATGCTTTCCAAAGCCGAACACGACCTCAACCAACAGAGACTTGGGAAACCCGCTGCGCGCAGACGTGGCCCTGGGCACACATCGCCGTCGGTGCGCGGCTCGGGGGGGCCCGGGGGGGGGGGGGGGCACATCCAACCGCGCCGGCAAGTGCTGGGGGTGCCCGTGTGGGCCCGCAGCAGCGGGCCACTCTGGCGACCGGCCACTCGCCCAAGCGCCACCGAGCAGCCCACGCGGCTCCCTCGCGGGAGATGTGGCCGTGCGGGGCGCCGAGGGCGGCGGGGCGCCACGCCGAGGCGCAGGGTCGTGCGGGGCGCCGCGGGGCGGCCGCGCGCCTCTCGGAGAGCGGCCCGGCGCCCGAGCAGAGAAGGCGCCAGCCGAGGCAGAGGGGCGCGGAGGCGTCGGGGCCGCCCCCGGCGGGAGGCATCGCTCCCCGCTGCGCGTGCGCGGCGGGGGCTTCCCGCGGCGGCGACGGCGGCGGCGAGGACGACGGTGGAGCGGTCGGCTTGGCCTGGCAATCCCGCGGGGGCGGCGTGCTGCGCAAGGCGCGCGACCCCAGCAGCCGCCAACTCGGCCTCTCGGTGGTCCTCGTCGCCCCGGCCTCCCGCCTGGGCGTTCGTCGTCGCCTGCCTGCTCCTTCCCTCCTCGTCCGCTTCCGCTGGGCAGCACAGCCTGCCCGGGACCAGCGTGGCGTATACACATGTACAGCCAAAACTATGATCAATAGAATTATAAGTTAAGAAAGCTGGGCCAACTTTGCAGAAGTTTCTCAAGAAAGCGCTGGGCCAGCTTTTGGAGCCAGGAACGTATTTTTTGAATCCGTACCGGCGCGAACCGGAAGCGGAGGCTACCAATCCCCTTAAGTGACTGAACCAGCTTTCCGGCAAGTTGGTAAAAAAACGCTGGGCCAGCTTTTCGGGGGGAGCTTTCTTAATCATAAGCGGGACCGCAGGTGCAGGGCTTCTGGCAGCGCCCAGGTGGGCAGCGTGCAGCTGCACGGCAGCAGGCTGGTGCAGCTGGACGAGGCCACGCAGCGGAGATTGTTTGCTTGGTCCCCGTCGCCCTGCGCCGCGACCGCGGCCACAGCGTCGCAGACGGCGTCCGCGTCTGCGTCCCCGTCTGGACCCAGCGGGCCCTTCCATCCCAACCACTGCCGCAGAGTGAGCCAGGGGGGATCGATCTCTGTGCTCGCAAGCGTTCGGGGGGTCGCGCTCTGACTGGAGGGTTCCAACAAGGGGCTTCCTGGGAGGGGGTTTCCCAGAGAGCCCCCCAGGGGCATCGGCACCTCGTCAGAACGGGGGGGGCGCGAAGCCCCCGGGGGACCCCTCCTGGAAAACCCCCTCCCCCCCAAAAAAACCCTTTGGGAACCCTCCGGTCTGAGGTCGTAGCTCGCCTGGGAGCGCCAGCTCTGGTGCCCCGGTGGCTCGGCCGAGTGCGCGGGTTGCCCCCCCCCCCGAAGGGGCGGGGGCTGGCGGCGGCCCACGCAGGCCCCCAGAGGCAGATGGCAGGACCGCGAGGGCCACCTGGCGCCAGGAAGGCGAAACCGAGCGGAGGAGGAGGAGGAGGAGGAGGAGGAGGAGGAGGAGGAGGAGGAGGAGGAGGAGGAGGAGGAGGAGGAGGAGGAGGAGGAGGAGGAGGAGGAGGAGGATTGATGAAGACAATCCGAATGGATAAGCAAAGACATGGCAGGAGACTTCTGTAAAACAGGAGGGGCAGCGGCGGTGGCAAAGCGTGCGAAGCTGCAGCCACGGCGCATGGAGTAAGCATCGTTTCTGCTGTGCTGCGCTGCCCAGCGACCCCCTCGCCAACTCCGCTCAACTCCGCAACCTCAGACGCCCGCAGATCTAGGCTGCTCCACGTCACGGTCCCAATCCTGCTCCGGCTGGCCCGATCGGCCCCAAAGTGTGGAGCATTCCGCTGCGTCAGGCCCGATCGGCCAGACCGACCCCGACCGATCGACGGTTCGCTCCCATCAACGGCCCGCTCAAGCCCTGATCGATGGATCGGGGCGGGCGTAAGTCCGCAACCTCCCGGAGCAACCTGTCGACCTCCGCCACAGCCGTCTCCGCTCTGGGCAGCGAGCGCTGGGCCACCTCCTTGGAGGGAGGAGGGAAGAACATCACGAGCATACAGTCGGCCCGGATGAGTAGGTCGACCCCGCCAGCTCAAGGGTACCCCTGTGTCCTGTGCCTCGCGACACGTGCCTTCTTACGCTCCTATGGCGATGTGGCCCTCGGAAGGGTCTTGTGCCCTCTCGCGTGTCCTGTCCAATCATGGCCGACTGTAGGCCCCCTGACGGCTTCAGAGAGTCTCATGTTGCTCCTCCGGGGTCTCCAAGAGCACCCCCCAAAGTGTTTCAGGAAGAGGAGGGGGAGGAGGAGGAGGAGGAGGAGGAGGAGGAGGAGGAGGAGGAGGAGGAGGAGGAGGAGGAGGAGGAGGAGGAGGAGGAGGAGGAGGAGGATGAGGAGGAGGAGGAGGAGGAGGAGGAGGTCCGCGCGGACTCCTCGGGGTCGGCGCTGGAGGCGCCGCCAAAGGGCGGGCCGGAGCCGGGCGAGCTGCGACAGCGGCAGCTCGAGCTCGACCCCCGGACCCCTCCCGGGGTCCACACGCACCGGCTTTCCGAGCTACGCGCCCAGCCGTGGCGACGAGGGCCCCCCCGAGGGCCAACTGCCGCTGCCTCGACGGGCCCTCCTCCGAGAGGGGGGCCTCCAGCGCCGACCTTCGGAAGCTCCGCGCGGAGACCTTCGGAGGCCTCGGGGGTGTCCGCCAGCGGGGGGAGTCATGCGCGAGGGGCGACGTCAAGGACCTCTTTGGAGCCCGCGGTGGCAGTTTGGGGACCACTCTCCAGCAGTCCTCTCCCCTCCTCCACCTCCTCCTCCTCCTCCTCCTCCACCTCCTCCACCTCCTCCACCTCCTCCTCCTCCTCCTCCTCCACCTCCTCCACCTCCTCCTCCTCCTCCTCCACCTCCTCCACCTCCTCCTCCTCCTCCTCCACCTCCTCGTCCTCCTCCCCTCCTCGACCACTTTCCAGCAGTCCTCTCCCCTCCTCCACCTCCTCCTCCTCGACTCCGTTCGGCCTGGGTGCTAAACCCTGTCCCCCCACGGTGCACGCCATCGAAGTCGGTGTGGCGTCTTGCTACGTGTGCGGGTTTTTCGAGCGGCTGGCCAACGCCCAGGCCTGACGGTGGCACACGATTTCTGCGTGGCCTGTGTCCCTTTTTTCGAGCCGTGTCCGAAGGCAGCTACAGA